TTTTTGCTGCAGTTAATGAGCAGGCATCAGGGTGCCTCTTTCCATGCAAAGAAGGGCCTTCCCCTCAGAGGGATTTACAAACTGCAGCCTACATAGTGTAGCTTTACCCACAGGTGTAATAACACCCCTTTCATAGCACAAGAATAGGTATTAGTACTACTGTAACTTATTTATGAAGGCACATTAGAAGCTAAGTCAATTGCTTTTAAAGCCCTTATGCACCTGTCCGCACAACTGAGCCATTGTTGGTGGATCTTTTGTTTATGCAAAGTTCACCTGGTGCAGAGAATCAGTGGGAGGCCTGTTTGCCACTCACTCTGGGAGCACAAGGTGGATCTCAGCACAAGGAGAACCTAATTTTCCCCCAACACAGTGGCAAGCAAGAGGACAAGTTACCACTGCTCCACTCACAGGCAAATACCTTCCTGAGTAAATACACCCAGCACCACTAAAGAAGCCATTTGGCCTCAATGTGTATGTCCATTCTCATAATCTTGGCACATGGTAGAGTTATGTCCCAAAAAGCCCACAGGAGCCCAGGATGCTCTGCTCACCCCAGGGTAGCACTGCACCAGCCTACCAAGCACAAACTGGTTAGGGAAGTACAAACCACTTTCCCGCTGCCCCAGCAAGCTACACAGCCATGTGCACCCATGGCACTAATACCCAAGACAACCTGTTCCCTCTATGTGTTTGGCCAACTTTACAAGCTAGTGCAGAAAAGCCGTGTGTACCCTCTGTGGTGGTTTGCTGTCCTCAGATAAGGGGGAGGAGGAAGATGTATTCCCACCTCTTCCCATTCAAGCACAAACGGCATCCATGAGAACTGTGATGTATTCCACACTAAGTGCTTCCTTCCTTGGCATACATCTTGGCTCTCAGTCTTTTGGAAAAAGAGACTGAGGACAAGATGTCCCTAAATTATTTAAAAACAAAAAATAAGAATGATTGCTTGCCCAACCTTTGTTCTAATGCCATCTTCCATGCACACTTATTTTTAAAATTTTTGTTGTTACCACCTTGTTGAGGTTTGCAATGTTCAGTTTCCTTATTAGAGGTACACTCTGTGGAGTTCAGTATCAGGTTTGTCATTTTACAAAAGGGGGATTTTACTTTTTTTATCAGGGTTGTCATTTTACAAAAGGGGGATTAACAGTCAGTCAAACCAGTCAGTGAATATATACTTGGAGCCAGAAAATATTTTCTGAAAGTTAGAAGCTCAAAGGCTTTGAATTTTTGTTTTGGTTTTTTTGTTTGTTTGTTTGTTTTGTTTCCTTAAACTTAAAACACAACAGAGGGTGTGTAACTCTTACTAGTCTTAGCTCATTTCAAGACCAACACAGATGAAAGTATGTTCTTTTAAAGTTGAACGTCCAGTCTCTGCAACTAACACTCTTCAGTAAAGGCTGAGACATACAGAGGAAGGAGGACTAGAACTATTACCTTGTAGATATTTGTCAAATGGGATAATGGGATCAAACAGGAAGAGTTTATTCATAGCAAAACATGAAAAGTATCCTGGAGATAGAAAAGCAACCCAACTACAACCTGGTGAATGGCTAACACACCCCTTGGGGAACAGGAGACAGGAGCTGAACAAGGCTTCCAACCTGCAATTAAAGAACATTTAGCCAATTAAAATTTCATAAAAAGTCATGGCAAAAAAATTGGAAGTTTATCAGAACCAATATTTTTGCATTTGCCACATTGCCATTAGAAAGTTTTCCCCAATGCTAATACATAATGAAGCAGGTCAGTGGAGAAGCTAAACTCGCCCTGACTAACCCAGGATTCACAACTGGTTTGAAGAAAGACAACAACTTCTCAACACCAATTACTGAAGGTAACTCGGTGTTTGCCATTACACCTGCTCTGTTCCACTAAAAGTAAGTTATTGCTCTAGTTAATCCTTTCCAGTGTAAATTCAAACTGGAAACCAGGTTTCTACCTCTTCTCTAACTTGCATTGATGAAGAGAAGTTTGAAGTCTATGGCTTTAGCCTGCTGGGTTGTCAACAGTTACAGTGAGAAGCTGTAGTGCTGTTGCCATACTTACAGTAGGGAAGCAGCAGCTCACACAACTACATGTCCTCAACTACCAAACCACAGTTTCTCCATACAGCCATTTTATGGTATGAAGCTGGTGAAGAGTTTAGAGCACAAGTTTTATGAGGAGCAGCTGAGGGAACTGGGGTTGTCTGGCTTGGTTCATGTGAACAGATAAGCACCCCCAACTCAAGCTGGACTACTGAAGTGAGGACAAGTCATTAATCACAATAGCAGCTTAGCTTCCCATATGCAGTATGACAGTAGACATTGCACATGGAGAAGTGAGAATATTATGTTCTTATATTAGAAAGGAGATAGGAAGAAAAGGGGTAGAAGAAAACTCCACCGTTACTTGAAATACAAAAAAACTTACCCAAAGAGCATAGTGTTAACAGTGAAACGCTCTCCCCTGATTTTATGGAATCATTTGTCTCTACCTTTGACGTCATATGGAAACTGACTGAACTTGCAAGACCTAAAGGCAGCTGCTGTTTTCATTCCGTTCTTAAATTAAACCATGCCCGCTCTATTTCGCTCTTTGGTTGACTTGGCGACTCAGGCTGTACCAGCCACTCAAACCAACATGATGCTTGTCACCATTGCAAAGCACATGCCTCTCTACATTGTCCAAGACTAAGCTTCATCATCTCAAACTGTAGGCTGTTTCCATGACTTTCATTGGACCCATACAGACCCAACTTAAGTTATTTATTAGTCAGCACACCAATGGCCCCCAAAAGGCTTTTTCTTACACATACACTACTACAAAAACACATCTGCTTTGATTAACTGGTCTACTGCATTCTTCAGTTCTTCCAAATACTTTTTTTAATTAACTATCATTTTCTTCTTTTCAAATATCCCTCAGATAAGGGTCACTCATATCAAACGCTAGCTTACTCTGTTGTAAAGCTAAAATAACTGTCTTTAACTTAGAGATAGTTTGTTCTGAGCATATTGGGCAAAAATCTCACAACACAACCTTTTCCAGTGGCATCAACACTGAAGACTAGATCAGCAACCCTGAGTACAAAGCCATCTGCCCAACCAAGGACAAGCATGCAGTATTACTCACCTTTACACAGGGACCAGCCCCCAGTATACATGAGATTAGATTGAGGGCAGCTAAAGGATTCAGTCTGGAGACTCTAGAGTAGCTGACGCCTCTGCACTAAGTAGTCAAAAAAAAACGAATGGGACAGAAGGCATGAAAAATAATAATATACCTATATATACCTGTATACAGCTGTACAGCATCTTCTACATTTCATGGCTTCAAACATATACTATGCTACCAAGCAACAGGAAAAAACCTGTCCATATTCATGCCACTGTTTATACATACAAATGAATAGTACTTGCAAACTTACTACTTCAGGGACATACACACAGACAACAAAATCAGCAGGAACATCATCTCTTTATTACAGAAATAATAAAACAGCACCCACAATTTATTTGGGCCTATACATGCTGATGCAGCTTCAAAATTTAAGTCAAAAGTACGTTTAAAAAAATACTTTGAAGAGGCACACAGAGTCACTGATGAGAGATAAAAAATCCCTAGTGGCCTCCAATTTGAGGCATGGGGCAGATTTCTCTCTCAAGCAGTTTATTATGAACACTAACAATGCTTTCCCTTTTCAGGTTCCTAGTAGCAGAACAGGTGACCTGAAGGAAACCATGTCGCTGCATTTCTGCAACACAATTCTTAAAACACTGTGTTGTAGGGCTGTTTTCCCCAGTATGAAACCATCCATAACTCACTCGGCATTAACAGTGACGTTGCACTTGAATAATCTTTAGGGAGCCTCAAAAGGCAGGCATTCTGCAACAGTTTCATTTTTAGAAAGTACTTTTGAGTTTCAGAAAGGCCCAGGAAAATCTCTCTGGAAGGTGAACACATTTAACAGCACACTCCCAGCTACTGAACACAGGCACATTACCGTATTTTTTAACAGCTGCTGTGGAGAATGCTCTCTGCTGTAAGTTGAGAGCAATTATGTGGAAGTCAGAAGTTGCACTGCAATAAATCAGTGCTGAAACTGCAGTCATAGCTCTTTAAAAACAAATATATAAGCAGACTGATAATATCAAGAAAACTACACATGTTCTGATAATCCACTGTTGATGGGTGGAGATTCTACCAGTCTCCTACTAACAAAGAAGAAATTAATAGATATAGGTCTCATTCATTCCACTGGAATTACCTGTTTAGTCAAGTGTCAGTGAATTGTCGTGTCTCCCAGCAGTTACAAAGGTCTGGTCTTTCCACAAGTAATATCATGAGCTGATGCTCCTATCTCCCCCAGAAAATAAAAATAATTGCAACCCCCGCTTCTTTCAATGTTTACAGGCTACCTGCTGTGTTCTACATTATAACTATATGCGTATACTGAATACATACAGATGCAGCTTAAGATCTGAAATGCTTATTCAACGAAACAACAGTTTACAACTGGCTTAAGAAAGAAGAACATGGAATCAAAGATTTTTCCTTTTTTTACTGTTATTTCCCAGTCCTGAACAGTATTCGCACGTGAAACACTTAAACCAAGATCATAAACAAAATCATGCATGATAAAAAGACTGAAAGCATTATTGGAAGTGACTTGTTAACACTGTAAGGCTACAGATAATGCATCTCAGCAAGTTCAGCTATTATTTGGTCAATATTTCTCATTTGGCTTAATGGAACATGATGGATAGCCAAACCAGAGGCACTCTTTCTTCAACATCGTGAATCAAGCAAGTATCCCAATATAAAAGAGCAAAACATTTCAGCAGAACAGGACATTTCAACAAAGCATACACCTCTTCACACAAGTGCAAGTGCTGTAGGAAGCAGTAATGACCTTGTATAGATTACTTTGAAATCTGTTTCAGAACGTTTCTACCAATTCCCTCAAGACAAAATATGAAAATACTTTAAAAAACAAAATGACATCTTACGGCTTGAAATGCAGTAAGCCAGCCTGCAGTTGATCCTCCTGAACAGTTGCTTGTTGATTGGCCAAAGTATAAGTGTAAAGAGTTGAATGAAGTTAATGATCAGTCCTGACACTATAAATATGTAGCAGATCAGAAGGTGGCAAATGAATTGAGACTTCAGAAAGCCAACGATGTCCATGATTTGCTGAGAAAGCAAGAGGGTACCTTCAGACCCAAAATTCAGAAGACAACCTGCAAAACCAAACAGTATCAGCGGTTACAGAGTGCATTTATTTCTATAAACAGACTGTTAATACAGACTTCCCGTTTTACACTTAAATACACTAAAATGAAAGTTAATTCTATGGTAGAAAAAGGCCTGATGACAATATTTGCAAAAGTAAGCATGGAAAGAGAATACCATATTTCTGAATCAATTGACATTTGGCTTTGGAAATAGATTTTCACATTTCAGTCCTAATTCTGCAAAACCCATGAGCATATGACTCCATTCCATGGACTCCATTCCATGGACTCCAGTACTTCTCTATGAGATTTTATTTATTGATAAAATATGAGCAAAATAGTCCACTTATATTTTGATTTGAATTGTCTGAACTTCATAAGACATACACTGTGGCATCTACTATCTTCAAGAGCAGCTCCAAACTAAACTCAAGCTTTAGAGCTTTATGTTAGAAGTTGTGCCCTCCTCTACAGGCTATGCCAGCCATGTTCCCCCACAAAAAGGTAGCAGCAGCCCCTTAATTCTAGCTTTATTGGCTTGTTCCCTTGTCACATTCAAATATCATCTGATTTTGGCAAGAGAATAAAAGCTTAGCTATGCACAATACACACAATTTGTTCAATTATTCCTTGACACTGTAATTCTGTCAGTTATACTCCCTAAGCCCAGAAAGGATACATCAATAACAGTACTAACCCATGACCCAGAAGTGTTTCCAGAAAAAAGAAAAATCAACTCTTAGGTTACTTAAGAAATGTTTCTATAATTTTGGAAAGGACCAGTCCAACCTTAGCAGCTGGGCATTCAGATGAAGTGTCCTCTGCCAAGCATTCTGGCCTACCAAATGCTGTATCGACCTCCCCCCACCATCACTACCACCAAAGGTAGTCTTATTTGTTAGGAGAAAAAAATATGAAGACATGATCTCTCAGTAAACAGCACCCCAATACTCTGAAAGCAGCCAAGCAGGAGGTGCTGCCATCCTGTTCCATTCCTAGACTGTTTCTCTCTCGGAGGCGTACGAGAGTTTGCCCAGGGAGGAAGCCCTGAGACAGTATTTCTGCACATGCCAGTCACAGGCAATAACAAAACGGCAGCTGTCAGCATCCCAGGGAATTAACTGATGAAAAAAAATCTTTATGCCTATCCTTTTAGCTTATATGAGACCCCATTATGTGAAGCACTGAGTGTAGATCAGTGTCCTGAAACATTTGTTTTACTGCCCTTGCTGACTATGCTTACCACAGCAAAGAGCACACATAAGAACCGCTGCAAAGCGATAGCAAGTTGTTTAGCCAGGTTTTCAACCGCAAGGAAGATGAAGAAAAAATTAAGAAAGAAAATCTGTATTGTTGTATAATTTATATAAAGAATTGATGGCAGTCCCAAGCCTATTATTAGCAGACAAAACGTGCCCTTTGTGTATCACAGACTTTGTTCCCTTTATCTTGTTGTACTATTCAGTACCAAAGCAGACACCATCTGTAGCTCAGAATGGCAGAACAGGCCTCTGTTCATTGTAGTAACGATTGTCATGATACTTGCAAAAAGCTTTTCCAGCTTTAACCAGCCATTCTATTAAAGATATGTTTGTGAGGGTGGCAGACAATTTATTAGCATGGGCTTTGACCAAAGGCTTTGTTTTTGTTGAAGGCTAAGTAGAACGAGAAATGTTGTCTAGTAGGAACCATTGCAATGATTCACGCCGCAGCCCCTCCATTGCACACTCTGAAGACAGAGCCAAAGACTGTAAAAAAAAAAAAAATAAATAAAAAAAACACAAACCCAAGTTTTGAATAAGTTTACAGTGAAAGATACAAGATTTCACTTCCCTGATTCAGACTACTGTACTTCACCAAGTAGCAGGATTAGATCACTTCTTTGAAACAGTCAGAATGGAAGCAACCAGTTACTTAAAAGTGGATCGTTTAAAAGACTGTGCAGTGCCCAAAACCCTGATGACTGGGTTTATCCTACCGTCCTTGGCTAAAACTGATCAAAAGTTTTTTGTGCTAGCTGGTCTGTTTAATTCCATCCCACAGAATCACTCTAATCTAATGTAATTCCCAGAGATCAGTAAGGGACTGGATCAAAAAAAATCCACATATAAAATAAAATTAAAGCACTGTCTACTTACAGTGGAGACCTGAAAATTCACTGTTTGATATAATCAACAGAAATCTACTGTAGTAAGCAAGCAGTTGATCAACAGACTTTGTGACAAGGAAGAATTCACTAGAATATTAGTCCACCAATTTGTTTGGTTTTTTTTTTCATTGTAATAGTAGTCAAACTGCATTAAAATGTTATGTTTATGTGAATAATTTACTTCACACCCGGTTTTTAAAACAAAACTTCACAGAATTAAAACGAAAAAAGATGAGATGACCCTGATAAAACGTAATTACTGTCTCACAATTTTATGAAGCCACAATGGAATGTCTTAAAGTAATTTATTCCTTACTTTCATACTTCAGTCATCAAACTTTAATTCTGTAAAGCTTCTAAGACATGTTTTAAAGGAAAACTAAATCTACTTAAGCAGTACCACTGAAATGCATCTAACCTAACTTACTTGTAAAAGGAACAAGAAATTAGAGCCACTGCTTAACTTTTGCTTTTCTGAAAAGTAGGGAGACCAGAGAGATTAATTTTTTCTCCTCTGACTAAACGCAAGCTGTTTTCCCTAAAATTTGGCATTTTTTTTTCCTACAAAATTTGGAACCCAAACATTGTATACAGAGTGCCAGCTAAGTGTTTTGTTTCTCAGGTATAAGCTCATTCTTATACAATTTTTTTAATATGATACTTTTTGGACTGTTTTCATTACCCAAACTCCAAGAAATGAAATTTATTCTTGGTAGAAGCAACAAAAAAATAGAAATTTATTTTCAATAATCAGTTCTGAGTTCAAGAAAGAGGTCTAGAAGCTGGCTTTTTAAGAGTTCATAGGAACTTCTTCCACTTGCTCTTTGTCTTACTGAAGTTCCTCATGGGTAACATCAACGTAACACCAGTTTAAGTGATGAAGAATCAGGTCTTTAATTCTTAATCCATGATGCTGGTTTAATAAATTACACTGATTTCCTTATAGATAATGACTGAAAATTACAGCAATCTTTTGAAAACAAAAAGGCCAATCAATGCATTTTCTCAGAAGCTATTAAGATTGGAGAGCTGCCAAGAAGCTCTCTTCTATCAAACACCCCTTAAAACAAATTAGGAGAAAATGGCCAGCAGAGCATCAAAAACAGATAGCGGCATTCTTTAATAACAGTTTTCCTTCGGATAGAAAACAAAAGACTCAAACCTCAAACGTCTGTCTAGGGAGCAAGTCAACAAGCATCTATTCATGTGACTAAGAGATCACAGGATCAGGTTTAAAAGCAAACTCCACGACTATTCATTCTACCTCTTTTCCCCCCAAGTTTCATTCTTCAGCAAGATCCACTGTGTTTTCTACTTCAACTAGTCTCAGCATTTCCTTTCGCTTCAAATAACTGACCACAAGGACATAGAAGAAAAGGCAATGTTACACCAGTGATATGCAAGGTGAGCACCTCTCTTCTGGCAGAGGTGGAGGCCAATTAACAATTCTATTTTGTACTTCAAAGTCTGTAAGAGTTTTGAGACTACAGCTAGTGATCTCGTAAAGAATACAACTGTTTTCACTTTTACAGAAAGCACAAGAATGAATCAAAGAACTCTCACCCATCTTGTCTAAAGTTTATGTAGTAAATAGGGTCCTTGGAGTGTGGAAAGCAACATGGTACCTATCTGACAGCATCTGGACTAAGTTAATATTGTCCATATTTACAAATAGACTCAAGGCAGCACTATACGTGGTTATTTTCATAACAGCATGTTTCAAGTCTATGCAAAGGCTTTCACTTATGTCTACTCTTTGATAAAGTCCTTAAATGCTTTGCTGCAAGTTAAGAACAACCAAGCATATGATGATGATGCCCATTCTTGCATTTTCTCATCTAAACCAGATTTTTGGATAGATGAGTTACAGAGGACTATGAAAATATGCTCCGGTCAGATTACAGCAGTTTCAGTAATGCCTCTAAGTGAATTTTAGTTGCCATCAGAACAGCACAGATAGCAGCACTGTATTTCATATCCGAATCCATTTTAACAATGCTTCTGTATATGAAATATGCAAGGCAAGTCCTTATGCTCTTCTCTTTCTGTCAGCGAGCATCAAAAGTTAGCAAAAGTGAGGTTGTGTCCATGTATGTATTCACCTTCAAGGAGAATATATTTGTACATGCCATACAAAAAAAAACCCCAAGTCTGGAGGAAGAATTATCCATCTATTTGCCTCGTGCTTAATTAGGGTTTGAATCACTTCCCCCCTCCCCCAAAGGCAACTACTAGAGCATTACCTCCTGTGTTGGGTTCATGTGGCAAGGTTTTGGCAGTGGGGGGAGCTGCAGGGATGGCTTCTGTGAGAAGATACCAGGAGCTGCCCCCAATGTCAGACAGAGCCAGTTCCAGAATGGACTCCCTGCAAGCCAAATCTGAACCCATCAGCGATGCTGGTGGCACCTCTGTGATAACACATTTAAGAAAGGGTAAAAAAATGCTGCACAGCAGATGTGCACAAGGCACGAGAAAAACATGAGGAAACAGCCCTTCACCAAGGTCAGTGAAGGAGGGGGAAGATGTGCTCCAGGCACCGGAGCAGATATTCTTATGTAGCCCACAGTGAAGACCATGGTGAAAGTAGGTTGTCCCACTGCAGCCCATGGAGGGGAGCTCACTCAGGAGCAGCTTTGCTGGTGCCCGTGGGGGACCCAGGCTGGAGCAGTCTGTTCCTGAAGGACCGTACCCTGTGGGAAGGACCCCAGCAGGAGCAGAGGAACAGTGCAAGGAAGAAGGAGCAGCAGAAAAGAACTGTTATGGACTGCCTGCAACCCCTATTCCCATTCCCCTGCGCCACTCAGG